ACAATATCCTAATTAGTAACGTGTATTTGACGTCGCATTGATGACATAGAACAGACGTCACTTAGAATTCATCATAATTAAATTATTTTTTTGTATATTTCTGGCAATGTCATATTGTCAATTGTCATTGTTGTTTCCTGTTTCCTCCATCTTCATGATTCTCGTGAGTACAGTCGTGACCTTGTGAACTTGGTGCATTTTTAAATTGTACTTTATTTGATAAGATGTTTTAGAAAAAGGTAAAAAATAGAATGTGACAAAATAATAAAGTATATTAAACCGAATTTGGTATTTTACAGATGTATTGTATTGTTGAGTTTAAAAAACCGGATGATGACGGTCTGGCGGTTGTGAGGTGAGCAGAAAATGGCTGACACTGCGTAAAAACAAGTCTTTTGGCCACTTTTATAAAGAAATATACCATAATATGACTGGTGAGTAATGTTATACTTTTATTTTTGATTATGAGTTTTTTTCAGGGTATTTTTTTAATAGTTTATTTAAAAATAAAAGATTTGTAAGGGGTCACTTGATTTAGATACCTTTTATCATCTCACAGAATATATGATCTTTTTTTATTAAATTTTATTATAAACTCAGACTCTATGTATACCTCTGAGAAGATAGTTTTTACAACTAGATACACAATTTACTTCCTTTCTTTAAGAATTTTCAGTGGTCTGTATTTTAATAGTTCTTTTATTTTAGATGATAATGATAAGTGATGTACCAAATTAAAAAAAGTCGAAGTTACCTCAGATCTACATTCCACGGCTAATAAAATACCTACTAACAGAAAACAGGTGCCAACTAGAAAGCTGTCATTCGATAATACTGAAGATGATGAAATCGTAAAGCATGCTCGCCAACCCCCAATTTAAATCAAATCTACAATTTTAGGTATGTTATGTCAGTTCCTGTAATATTTTTTTGTGATTTTATTCCTTTTGGTTTCTTGCTCATGACTTTTTTATTTACCAGTGTAATTTATTTTTTATAATATATTTGTCATGTATTTTTTGGATTAAATAAATAACTTTCATCTGCTTAGTATTTTTAATAATTCCATCCTACCTTGGGACACCCAATATAGACGCACACTTTGACGTTAGGTAGTTTCGTGATAATGACGTCAATTTACCTAGCCTGGACACCCGATATACACGTTACTTTAACGCGATATCGATTCGTCAAAATGACGTATGGAATGACGTCATTTCGCTGTGACTTTCTCACGTTACCCTAACGTTATTTTCACGTCATCAAATGACGTAACGCACACCAAAAAATCACGTCATATTGACGGCATGATGTTGCATGGGAATCAGTGTCATATTTTTCAAAAAATATGCATTACCGCAAAAAGTAGACATTTGAAAATGCGGGAATATTAAGGTAGCTTCATTATCTACCGACTCTGGAAGTTAGATTTTTTAAAAATTATAAATTTAAAAACTTTTTATTTTTATCACAGAAATTAGGCTTAAAAGTAAAATTTTAAACACAAACAGTATTTCATGTACTACGTGTAAAATTACGGCAGGGTATGTATTCCTCTTAACATTAATTTTTAAACAGAGATCCTAGATATTTATTTTTTATCAATTATTAAAATAATTTAAAAGGAACTACATTATTTTTATGTTTATTTTTCTGGTTAATACACATGATAAGATAATTCTTTTAACATAAGAGCGTAAAGTGTGTAAAATTTATCAATTTTAAAATTCGCGACGCGGGTTCAATTCCCGATAAAAGCAATTTTTTTTTATTATTTTTTTTTTTTTTTTGAAAAATATGATAATGATAATGATTTATTTTAAATTTATTTTATTTATCACATCACCCCTACAATAATTTAGCAATTCATTAATCTTTTCGCTATTCATTTTATACTATTTTGATAATTTCAGAAAAAATTGTAAGTAGGTACAATCTCTAATAATAAAAAAATTCTTGTTCATAATTGTTTATCTTATTATTTGTTTTATTTAAAACAATAAATTAATGAAAAATATGAATGTATTCTAATATTTTTTGTACTTTTACCATCCTTTATGCTTAGTAATAATGTTGTTTTTGTCCTTATTTTCCATTCTAAATCAGCACAAAATAATTAAAACACAAAACAACAAAATAACTCACTTTTTTGAAATCTTAATAACTTTAACAAACAATGTAAGTACATGTTACGTGAAATTAATATTAAATTTATTTTTAACAACAACTTCTCCATAACCCCTCGTAACACAAGTTAAACGACAACCGCTCGCTTCCTTCTCGAGATTTGCGAAGTACGGTTTGTGCACGTACCTAGTGTTTCTTTGGGCAAGCACGTCGGGATAGAACCGCTCGTGTTGATTCAACCTGCCTTTTGGCATAGCAAGTGGTAGTAAGTGCCGACAAATAATTTACTAGTAGAGTAGATTTCCGTAATTATCTTGTCTTTAATATGTGCTTATTGTATGTTAACGTTGAGATAGTTGTCAGCTAATGTTTCTTTCAACTTACATTTTAACATTTTGCTAGATTTAGTTTAAAAACCGAAAGGATCGACTATTTGCTTTTTTTATTACCATCATGCTGACGAGTGTCGGTTATTTTTATTGTTTTATTTTTTTGATATATATAGATTATGGCTACCCTACCTAATATTATTTTTAAGCTTTCTTTGATATATACGCGGGGAGGCAACTAAATAATTGAATTACAAGTCAGTCTGGAAATACAGTTTAAACGGAAATCAATGGCTCTTAACTTATTTTGGCGTTATAAATATTTTATATTCTGTTCAGACGATGTAACTTTATTATTTGTTCCGTTTATGCATAAGTTCGTTAGATTTCCAAACTGGCATGTAGATGTACTTTTACCGTTACTTTGAGCACGACGCCGTAGACGGAGTGCTCAATCGTCTGAAAAATAAATAAAAATAAATAAAAATAAATAAAAATAAATAAAAATAAATAAAAACAAATAAAAATAAATAAAAATAAATAAAAATAAATAAAAATAAATAAAAATAAATAAAAATAAATAAAAATAAAAAAAAATAAATAAAAATAAATAAAAATAAATAAAAATAAATAAAAATAAATAAAAATAAATAAAAATAAATAAAAATAAATAAAAATAAATAAAAATAAATAAAAATAAATAAAAATAAATAAAAATAAATAAAAATAAATAAAAATAAATAAAAATAAATAAAAATAAATAAAAATAAATAAAAATAAATAAAAATAAATAAAAATAAATAAAAATAAATAAAAATAAATAAAAATAAATAAAAATAAATAAAAATAAATAAAAATAAATAAAAATAAATAAAAATAAATAAAAATAAATAAAAATAAATAAAAATAAATAAAAATAAATAAAAATAAATAAAAATAAATAAAAATAAATAAAAATAAATAAAAATAAAAATAAAAATAAATAAAAATAAATAAAAATAAATAAAAATAAAAATAAATAAAAATAAATAAAAATAAATAAAAATAAATAAAAATAAATAAAAATAAATAAAAATAAATAAAAATAAATAAAAATAAATAAAAATAAATAAAAATAAATAAAAATAAATAAAAATAAATAAAAATAAATAAAAATAAATAAAAATAAATAAAAATAAATAAAAATAAATAAAAATAAATAAAAATAAATAAAAATAAATAAAAATAAATAAAAATAAATAAAAATAAATAAAAATAAATAAAAATAAATAAAAATAAATAAAAATAAATAAAAATAAATAAAAATAAATAAAAATAAATAAAAATAAATAAAAATAAATAAAAATAAATAAAAATAAATAAAAATAAATAAAAATAAATAAAAATAAATAAAAATAAATAAAAATAAATAAAAATAAATAAAAATAAATAAAAATAAATAAAAATAAATAAAAATAAATAAAAATAAATAAAAATAAATAAAAATAAATAAAAATAAATAAAAATAAATAAAAATAAATAAAAATAAATAAAAATAAATAAAAATAAATAAAAATAAATAAAAATAAATAAAAATAAATAAAAATAAATAAAAATAAATAGAAATAATTAAAAATAATAAAAACAAATAAGTGGAACTTATGATGCCCTGGTATAAAAAATATGAGGTGTGAATTGTTAAAATTACGTCCCAACAGCCTAAGGGAGGACTGCTTTTCGCACGGACAGTTTTATATAACCTGTTAGAGAGTGAGTTTCACATGCAATCAAGTGATGTTAGCAAATGAGAACCGTACTAGAAATGTGGTATATAAAGGGATTTTTAATTAGATTAATGTAAGAATTCTCTACTTAACTTTAATCTATATACATTCCAAGAAACCTAAAAAACGTAGGGCTCCTTTTTTTGGAAAGTCATGCATTTTTTTATATTAAAAAACATGACTCCACGTGTGCAAAGCCGCGGGCAACAGCTACTGACATCTAGGAAACCGATATTACTACTTTCTTATATTGTTAGTTGCATATGATTAACTTTGTTATTTTATAGAAAATAATAATTTATTCTCAACGATTTGTAGTGTGTTTATATATTTTTTGTTAAAGTTATTTAGATTTTAAGAGTTATTTTGTCGTGTATTGTGTTTTAATTATTTTGTGTTGATTATAATGGAAAATAAGGAAAAAAACAACATTATTACTAGGTTGTAAGTTTAACCAAATATAAGTCAATCTGCCCTTCTTTGATATAAACTTACAATAATAATGTATACAATAAACAAAAAGGGATTTTTTGTTTTATTTCCCCAATTAATGAATTTTTCGTAACCAGTTTTATAATGTTCGACATAATGCAACTGGTTATGTAAAGTAGATTATTTTGGCACCTGCTGCGATTACAAAAAAATGTCACTTTATATGACAAAATTAGAAAAAAATATTTTCTGAAATTTGACGGTGACCTTTCTAAATAGCATCAAATTGTATTATGATTTAAGCATTAATAAACTAACAATCTATTGCACTTAGTCACAAGATACCGACCTGAGGAGCGCTGACTTTAACAGGATGGGCAGCAGCAGTCTGTTGTCCTGGTATAAACAAACTCTCCGTCCTCTTTGGCTGATTTGGAGAAGGTACTATGTCTTGTCCGAGTCCCCTTTTTCTCATGATGACATCCTCGAAGGGAGGAACTGGTGAGATGCTATTAGCTGTAAATAAATTAGATTTATTTTGATTTGTCTTCACGGTTTCCACGCTTGAATTTATTTCAAAACTTTCTATTTTGGTATTAAATTTGCCATTTTTACATTTTTGGACAAACATTACCCATTTTTGAGACAAATTTTCAAGCCAAACCTTGCCTTTTGTTTGAACCGAATTGATCATTTTTAAACCGCTATTTTTTTCTGCATTGATTGACGAAAAAAATGTTGAGAAAAATGGCAAAATAGCAAATTTGATTCAAAAATTAAATATTTAAGCTCAAAAATGAGCAATCTGGTTAAAAACCGGTAAATTTGTTTCAAGAAAAGCTTATTTTAATTAACACTTTTTAAATTTCCTATAATATTTTAAATTTGCATATGACTGTCATGTGGAAACGGTTAAACAACTTTAACCAAAATGAAGAGAGAAATTTAAATTTGAAAATATTAATATTAATAAAATTATGATTTAGCAAGTTGTAAATATCCCGAAATATATAATTTTGGGAGTGAGGATGACCAGGAACTTGTTGGATACGTTGTGGACAATGAGCACTGATGATGGCAAATAAGCCGAAAGCGCTTTGCATTGATTAATAAAAAAGTTTTGCACGAAATACAAGTTTTTCCTTTTGAATCTAAACTACGTGCACACAGCTGTCAACCTTTTTTGGTTATTTTAATGTAAGTAATTATTTTAACTAAAGACTAAAAATTGGTTTTAAAACACATTTTTGCTAGACCGATTCTGAGTAATGAGCACTTGCAAAGTAATATGGCCGCTCGCAATGCGACTCGCTGAGCAATCTATATAACTATAATATCATTGATCCTGTCAAAGCACAGAAGCAGCAATTAGGCATTCCAACGACCTGTCAAACAATAGGTGCCAGTGGGAAATTATTGTATATCTAAGGGGGTAGCGACATAATCTTGCAACTTGGACGCTATTTTTATTCGAAGTAGTAGTCGCCAAGCCTGCCAATTTATGAAGAAATGTATAGATGGGTTTTTTAAATATTATTTTTATTGTGTTTGACATAACATATTTAAATGTTATCCATTGTTCATGATTTACGTAAAGTAGATAGAATACACCGTATGTCGCCACCCTTAGATATTGTTCATGATTTACGTAAAGTAGATAGAATACATCGTATGTCGCCACCCTTAGATATACCCTTAGATTATACAAACCTTAGATGGAACATAAGACACTGCGCATAATCCCATGGTATAAAAAATAAAAGGTAGGATATCAAAAGTGTCAAAAATAGGACGGCCACGCGCATAACGTCACGCGTAGAGTTTGTATAGGCGCGAATTTAAAAATACTGACGAAGTGTGAGGAAAATATATGCTACTTACAGAAAGTTAATGAATATTAAGGATACTATTTTAGAAATTACATGAAATATCTATGGATATTATTATAGGATAGTTAAGGAAAGAACTATGAAGGAACATAAATGCAAATACATACATAAGAGAAGTATTTATTTGAACAGTTTTTTTCCTTTTTCTTTTTTAATGATTCATTATGGTTATACAAATTCGACTTCTAAAGACTAGTTTTTATAACCAGGATAATGAAAAGGGTATCTTCGCAACTTGAAACTGAGGATCCTGGTAACAATTTTGCATCTGGATATGCCGGAAATTTTTATCTGATTACTCATTTACCTGCATTAAATTACCCAATTGAATAAAAATAAATTTAAAAAATATGTGTTTTCATATAATATAATGCAGACATTCATATAATATAATGCAAAGCATAAAAAAATGTACGAAATACAAATAACAGCTACATAACATATTGTGGGTGCATATACAAAATTAAAATAAAATGTCATTGCAATTTTCCTGGACAAAGTCGCTGACAGTTTTTTTAATTCACTCATCAAGTACAAGTCGAAATTTTCTTTTTTTTGCCTCATTTACAATTTCACTTTTGCTTATATTGCGAAATTTTTAGCCTTCAAAGGGTAGAGTCTCCAGTTTAGAAGTCCCAAGTTGCGATTAAACCAATGTGAAGTTCTGATTGGAGGTTCCTCTTATAATTGGAAGGTTGAAAGTGCTTGGAATACATATGAAAATTTATTTGCAGGGTTAAGAGCCACTGCAAGGGCTGTTCCATGTCAATTTTCTTGGGAAGGAGGGTAGAATTGCCTATTTAGCATATTTTTTTTAATAAAAGGCTCATGGATTTTAAGAATTTTAATCTAGGTAACGGCATGCTCCTCTAAGCCTCCGCTGTAGCCGCCCTTGGGCCACTCCTCACTTCTGACTGAGCTCTTACTGTCGAAGAAAGCGAAAAACCATAATATTTTTCTTGAATCCCTTGCTTTAATTGTTACTGTTACATCCGTACCGCAATTTTTCAAAGTTTTTCACTAAAAGCACTTAGAGAGAACAAAGTTTACAACATAATATAATACAAATATCTGTTTAATACCTTATAAATTACTATAAACGACTCCCAAACTACTGCAACATGCGTATGTCATATGATATTTATTTCGCGCCAACTCTACTAACTCTACGCATGACGTCAGAGCCGCCATGACACCATGCGCGATATCCCCCCCTGGCATAATCCCATTTCGAAATTATTCACACCCACCAATCACAGTTGAGAACATCACATGTCAGAGCGTTGTCCATCCAAATTTAATGTGTCAACGAGAATTCATTTGGTATTTTAGTGACTTAAATTTTAGAAATTAACGTTGAAAATGCCAAGATGTGTTGTAAAAAGCTTTATTTATAATAAAAGTGCGAAATATGACGGAGATAAAAGACACTTATATTTATTTCGGTGAGATATTGAATTTTTAAAGATTCTGTCGACGTCCATATTTGTTGATTTGAAAATAAACAGAATCGGACTTGGTCATTGGTACATGTTATAAGTAGCAAGTAAAGGTTATTTTTATAAACTGTTTACTATTTCTTGTTTCATTGGGAATCTGTTTTCAGGAAGTGGAAAGAGAAAAATACAATCAAATACAAAAATATCAATTTCATTGCCAATTTATTCGTTTCAAACCTTACAACTAGTTTCAATAGTTTTTTCAAAACTATTTATATAGTATTTCTCTATAACAGTGTTACTCAAAGTGTGCTCCGCGAAGCCCTGGGGCTCCGCAAAGTCTTTGTGAGGACTCCGCGAAGAAAATAATCATAATAAAAAAAAACAGTACTATCGCCACAAAATGGAGGGACCTGGCTTGAGGAGCTTTTTTTAAGAAGTAATTTTTTTAAGTCACTAAGAGGAAGGAGGATATGATTTTGCTTTAGGTCTTTTTTTATTTTATTTTTTATGGGTGATATGGATTTGGGATAATTCTTGCAAGGAATCTTTGGAATTAATCAAAAATAAATTAACAACAAATTATGTTCTTGTGCATTTTCAGCCTCCTGAGTTGCCGATTAAATTAATCGTAGATGCATCAAATGTGGGAATAAGGGCCATGATATGTCATGTTTTTGAAAAAAATATTGAGAAATCTATTGCTTCTGCTTCGCGTACCTTATCAAAGCCCGAACAAAAATATTCCCAAATTGAAAGAGAGGGCCTTGCAATAATTTTTGGCTTAAATAAATTTAATGAATATTTATATGGACATTTCTTTATCCTAGTTATAGATCACTTACCTCTGGTAACTATTTTTAACCCAGCTAAAGGTATACCCCAATTTTCAGCCAACAGACTACGTAGATGAACAGTAATATTGTCAAATTCTAATTATAAAATTGAATATGTGAAATCGGAGCATAATATAAAGCCGATTTTTTATCACGTGTACCTATTAAAAGTCAAAATGAAGAAAAATTTGAAAAATATTTTTTAAATTATTTGTTTTGTGTTGAGGGCCCCGTCAAATATTTCGCTTTTCAAAAAGGTTCCGTCGCCAAAAAAGTTTGAGAAACACTGCTCCATAATAATATGGGATCTATCCATTTAATTTACATTTTGTTATTTATTCTAATTTTGACATAGAAAGTAATATATTTTGTAATCGCAGCAAGTGCCAAAACGATCTACCAGTTGCATAAAGTAAAACATTATGCAACTGATTACGAAAAGTTGATTTTCACCAGTTACGAAATGAAAATAAATAAAACTGCCCCTTTTTTGTTTTTAAATCGAAAAATCGAAAAATCGAAAAATCGAGAAATCGAAAAATCGAGTAATCGAAAAATCTAAAAATCCAAAAAACGAAAAAACCAAATATCGAAAAAAGGCAATGAATAGTGACATTTCACATTTGAAAATATGACATTACGTTTAACAACAAAAAAGAAAACAAAAAAAGAAAAGCTGTAAATTGCATTTTATTTTTTTAAATAATTGAACACCGTTATTGAAAACTGCCCAGAAATGTTGGGGGTAAAATTTTGACGTACTCCTTTAAGGATAATGGGTAAAAATGAATATTTTTAAAAATCAGATCGGCAACACTGCACATGTCCTTTATTTTTATTATTACTATTGAAAAAAAAAACGTCGTAGGGCAATCAAATACAACAATTTTCTAAAATATTTGATTGGAAGTACCTACAAAAGAATGATGGTGAATCATTTTTCAACACAATTTTATAAATAATTAAGACAAAATTAGAAAAAATCTTGTATGTAAACAGGTTACGAAATGCCGTTTTGTGTAACTCGTTCATTTTGCGAGACCTTGCTCCCGCAAATATTTACTAGTTACACAAAATAAGGCATTTCGTAACTGGTTACATAAATAGCTATTAATTGACTTCCTAATATTTTAAATCATTGAACGGTATTTTCCGTAAATAATTAAATCATAAATAATTACCGGTATATAAGTACCAAAACATTTTTTTCCCTTCGAAGAGTAGGCTTATGTCAAATAAACTTAAAATATTATAACGAACGAAAAGGTATTTATTTTATTTTGGTGTGATCGTTTAAAATACTAAACGAAGATTAAAATGACATTTTTATATTAACAAAAATAAAGTTTAAATTACTAAATGGAGTTTAAAATTACATTTTTACATTAACAATGTCATTTTAATTTTCGTTTAGTAATTTAAACTTCGTTTGACACAACGGTGGAATCGGTCCTTAGCTAGTTATATATTGATAAAGTACTATTGCCCTCATCATAAATGGATCGTGCTAACAAATAGTCTCATAATTTTTCATCTTTTAGTTACCTACCAAAATTAGGTACTACAATACAAATATTTAAGTCCGGCCCAGAACATCTCCCTACTCCTTCCACCCAGTTTTTCGGTTTTGGCAAAATTCGCGCAGTGACAAATGCTTCCTATGTTACCTCTACCCTTTCTAACCTCTTTGGATATACCAAACCTTCCCACTGGCAATTCATTTGTTTGGAATGCCTAATTTTGACAGGTCGTTGAAATGCCCTAATATATGTTAGATATCTTTTTACTTGTCACTTATACATAATAAATTTTTATTTAAATAGTTAATGATGGGATCTTACAATAAATATGACCCCACACTAAAATATATAAAAAAATGAATTTTATGTTGTCGTCTCTTTTCTTATGTTTTTGTTGATTCTGGTTTTTGTTTCTTGGTCTCTTGTTTCTCCTGGTTTTAGGAAAATCAAAAACAAAAGCCGCATTCTCAATTTTATCGAATTTTAAGTTCTATGACATTGGCAAGGAATGTAATATAAGATATTTTTCTTTGCATTGAAACTGTAGTATTGAACTACACCACTTCTAAAAATATCGTTCCATTTTTACAAATTTGTCACTTTGAAATATTCTAAAGTCCCGTCTCCATAACAAACTAAAATGTCAAAGACAGCGTTTCTCAACCTTTCATTATTTGGGGCACAACTTTCAATAACAATGTTTATGGCGTTCCCCTACCTTCCCTTTTCATATTATAATGAACTACAACGTATATAAAACGTTAAAAATTTTGACCCTAATCCCCTTATTGCAGCATGTTAATAGTGGTGTAGATCCTAGACTCTTGGCCTAGAACCCTAATATAGAACTTAATTACAGACCTTCAAAATTACCGAAAATAGGCGAATTTATTGAAATTTGGCAATGCCGCTCCGCTACATCCCATACAGGTAAAGCGTAAAGCCAGAATCGATGTTTCACATCTGCTCTCTGTCATTTACGACGGATATCAAACATTATAAACGGTATAAATGCTGCGGCTGTTAGAGGTTCCGGTCAATTTTAGTCGAGTTGTGATGCCAAATTTTGTAAGTTTTGTGTAACTGTGCCTTATTTCCGTATAAGATATTTACGTAAATTTTACGGCAGTAAATTTATACAGAACTAAGCCTCACACCATTGGTGAAGACCTTATTCTGTCAGATGCGATGTAGAATGCAGAAACTATGTTTGGAGATAATTTTGCCAAACAATTGCAATTCATACCTCTTTCAAATGCAACAGCAACAACACTTGCTTTGTTTGATATTTTAAATGATTTTATTAATGAGGCAAACATAGAGTGGATGAATTGCGTTGGTATATGCACCGAAGGTGCTCGTACAATGTCTGGAAGATTCCAAAATGTACAAGCACTTGTGAAACAAAAATCTCTGCAATGTACCTGGGACCCATTGTTTGATCCACAGAGAGGCTCTGGTTTCCAAAGAAATGAATCCTGGTCTCAACATTGTAACTAAACTAAATTATATAAAAATGAGTCCCCTAAAATCAAGAATCTTAATGCATTTGGCAAAAATATGGGTGCAGAATATTTAACGTTACTATTTTATTACGAGGCCAGATGGTTATCGTGTGGGAAATTTTCACAACTTGTTTATGAGTTAAAAGAGGAAATTACCACTTTCCTAAAAGAGGAAAACCTCCCGGAAAATAAAAAGTTTCGAGATGTTTTATTTGTGATGAAATTGAGTTACTTGGTTGACATATTCGAGAAATTAAATACCCTGAATCTACAACTCCAAGGAGCAAATACACATACGTTGGATACCAGTGATAAGATTCGTGCTTTTTGTAGAAAATTGGAGCTGTGGAGCAGAAATGTAAAACAAAAAAACTAGAAATGTTTGAAAATAGAATGAGTGTCTCAAAATATACAAGTAAGAAAAACAGTATGTAGAAGTTGTTTATGTAACAATAGAAAGTCATTTTGCAGAGAATTTTAAAAAGTATTTTTTGTAGACGACAAATTGGTAGCAAGTTACGAGGGATTCATTTAAATCTACTCTTGAAGGTATCTCAACTAAAAAAGAAGAAATCTTCATAGACTTTACAGCAAGCGGCGAAATCAAGAGAGAATTTAGTAAAAAATCTCTCTTTGAATTTTGGGCGGGAGTGCATGATGCCTTTTCTCTATTGAAAATTATTGCCATTTTCAACATCCTACCTTTGCAAATCCGGATTTTCTGCGGTGGCTGCTTTAACGACAAAATATTGGTCTCGACTAAATATAGACAAAGAGTGGCTATTTGTAACATAACACCTTCTTTTTTAAAACTTTACTGTGCGAGACAGACCCGAGAGAGTCACTAATGATTATTAAACCTACTTTTAATTTAGTACTGATGAGTTTATCATTAGGTTCAATTGGCATTTGACAGAACCTACTGATACAATCATATTTATAATAATTAAATAGTATATTACTTTAAACGTTTACTGTACTTACACTTACCTAATTTTTTGTAATGTCAGAATGTATATCATTTTGCTTTTCATTCTGTGAATTAAATTTCTTTTATTATTTTTTTTTTATTTTGTGCATGAAATTCTCAAATCCAAAGACTCAAATTGGAAAAAACTATGCAACAAAATTGATGAGGACATATGGGGAAGGGGTATAAGATCGCTACAAAGAACTTGAAACTAATAGGACCTACAAAATTAAGTCTGCAAAAACATAGCGGCTGAACTATTTCCAACTCGTAATTTTAAAAAACGAGATGAAATAGAAGTTAAAGACATTCCTGTCTTTAGTGAAAAAGAGATCATAGATGCTGCTAAGAGTCTAAAAAAGAGATCCCCTGGACCAGATGGAATTAACTTAGAAGCAGTACAAACAGTGATCAAAATAATTCCACTTACAGTCACAAACGTAATGAAAAATATAATCACCACAGGGTAATTTCCTAAAGATTGAAAAAAGGCAAGATCAATACTGCTTACAAAAAAGTCAACGGAAGGCACCGAGAAGTATAAGCCAATTTGTCTTCTGGATAGCTTAGGGAAATTGTTGAAACTGCTTGTAAGATTGAACAACATTGTTTTTTCAGACACAATATGGCTTTAGAACAGGATATTCGATTCTCGATGCCATGGAGCACGTCTTAAAAATTGCGAAAACCGCTAACAATGGTAATTGGAGGAACAAGAAATTATGAATCACTGATATGTTAGATATTAAGAAAGCTTTCAACTCCGCATTATGGATAGAAAACAGAAAAGTGGAACCTTATCTACAGAGGATTATAGGTAATTACCTGAGTGACAGAGACATCATTATCGAGGACCAAGATGGGAAAGAAACCATTAAAACTTCATCCAAGGGTCTATTCTCGAGCCACTTCTTTGGAATATTTTGTACGATGGGGTGCTTGAGATTGGTCAACCAAGAGGAGTCAAAACATTTGCTTACGCGGACGACCTCGCAATTGTAGCAGTCGTACACTCTAGTAAAGACTTAGAAACAATAACCAATAGAGCGCTTAACAACGTGGCGGCCTGACTTAAGGGAAAAGGCTACAACTTGCACCGGAAAAGTCAGAAGGCATACTTCTGACACTAAAACAGAAATCAAAACCGATAAATATAAAAGTCTTGGGGGAAAAAATAACTCTTATAGATTCGCTTAAATACCTGGGAGTCTGGCTAGATAGAAAATTGATTTTTAAAGAAAACATTTTTAAGACGGCAGAAACAGCAGAAAAGTCCAAAGGTGGTAGCAATCATGGAAGCAATCTAGACGAAGTCATTGGACCAAAGAACTTATCCCAGAAATAGAAACTTGGTAAGAAAGAAAACACGGGGAAGTAGGATACTACTTTACTCAGTTTCTTAGTGGACATGGTTGCTTCAACAAATATTTATATGTCATCGACAAGGCGTCCTTAAAACATTGTTGGTATTGCGATGGAGAACGAAATGACGTCGAACACGCCATTTTCAGTTGTGACAGATGGCTGGAAGAGAAAGCAATCATGGACATCAAAATAGGGGTATAGCTAGCAAAACATAACATCATAGAGGAAATAAATAAAAATGAAAAGAACTGGTTAACTATAATAGAATATATATAGTAGCAATCATGAGAACAAGAGAAAAGGATGAAAAGAATGAAAAATCAAGAAATATTTAATAGTAAGCATCAGCCTCGAAGTAATGCGAAAATGGTTCCGGGGCGTGACTGCGGTGTAAAGGGAGGTTTTTTTAGTACCACACTACTTAACACACGAGTGTTTTGGTATATTTTGAAGATTTTCATTCCACGCAAAAAAAAGGTTGAGAAACGCTGGTCAAAGCGATAAACTAAAAGCTCGTCGAAACAAGAACTATGTGAAGTAAAAGTGATAGTTTGTAGTATACGAAGCGCTACGAGGCCTAAGAATGACTATATATGCAAAAACTATATAGACGCGGTATTTATTTTAGATATAAGTAAATTTGAGGCGTTAATTTTGAACTTTATTCCCAAATCATTACTGACCACTTTTGAAAAAATGGATAAACTTTCATTCTATTTATTATTTTTGTTAATGCCTTACCAGTATTCGACGATACTTTCATCGCACTTCCGGTCATCACGGATCCGTTTTTGGCTTGCGAGGGATTGTTAAGACTAGGTGGTGCTGGCGTGGAGCCTCTGGTTGCGGAAGGTGCTCGAAGCGTTCGATCGGGTGTATCCCCTGTTCGATTGTTCGCGGAAGTCCTGTCTACCGAAGGTTGTCGAGAGCCCATGGTGTTAGTCAGTCGACCCGTGGCTCGAGAATACCTAAAAAAAATTACTAATTAATATTTAAAATTTCATTGGAATGGTAAATATTTAATTTTTTATTTGCTTTATATAAATTTATAAACCTCCAAGAGTAAACATAAACTATAGAAAAAAAATCCACGCGCTTTGATAGGATTTGAACCTGCGATATCTATCATAGCGTGCTAGCACCTTAACCACTCGACCAATTAGGCATTCCAAACAAATGAATTACCAGTGGGCAGGTTTGGTATATCTAAGGGTGGCGACATATGGTGTATTCTATCTACTTTACGTAAAATCATGAATAATGGATTACATTTAAATATTTTATGTCAAACACAATAAAAATAATATTTAAAAAACCCACCTATACATTTCTTCATAAATTAGCGTCCAAGTTGCAAGACTATGTCGCTACCCCCTTAAATATACAAGAACTATTGTTTGACAGGTCGTTGGAATGCCTAATTCGATAAACAAGCGTGCTGAGATAGACATATTATTTGAGGAACTTATGAGCAAAACCTAATAAATCCACCATAAATGATTTTTGGGAATAGAAGATTTTTCTATATCACATAAAGTAGTAGTTTTCTAATTAGTTTTCTTAGCAAATACTCTTGGGAATATTATAATAAAACTTACTAATTTTTGAAAGTTGTAAAAATTATATTTTATATTATTTTGATAATTTTTAATTTATATAGGAATACAGGATATTGTTATGTGGTTTATTGAATTACTAGGAAAATTTGCTTTCAAATGATGTGTTGCACTTTAAAATAGTTTTTCCACTAATAGAGAGTTGAAGTGATGCTATGAACGTAAACGTAAACGTGAAAACTGACATCTGCGCATGCGTATTTAAATATCCTTCACGTTCACGTCTACGTAAATACGTAAGCTTACGGGCTCTGACGTATGCACATACTTTGATTTTCTTTTACTATACGGAGAATGGTCGCACTGCGCAGCTTTCTGAGTGCCTTTTAAAAGGAGATAGAAAACTCCGCCATTTTGAACCCTTATTACGTGTTGCCTACATCTTGGCGCAATATTTTTAATAGGTGCGTTTTAATCATCCGCTTCTGCTTCGGAATTGTCGGTTTTCTTGTTTTAATCTGACAGGTTAAAACGACTAAACCGACAATTCCGGAAGCAGAAGCGGATGATTAAAATGCACCTGATATTTTGCTTGCTGCTGTCAGTGTCAGTAAATATTATTTTTGAAGTCACAGTTTATTGCTAAAGAATCAGTTAGCTCACTCGGACCAGTTGAAAGTTCCAAAATCCACTCCACTCCAGGGATACAAATTCAGGATACGCAGAAGACTGCTGTTTTATTATAGGCGGTTGTCATATATTGTATTATCCGAGTTACACAGTGTATAAACTGAAACATTGAGATCAAAAGTGCCGACGCAGAGTGAGCGATCTGATTCTTTAGCTGTAAACTGTGTCACAGGGTTCAAAATGGCCGCGCCCTATGTTGGGCGTGTCGGACCTCTCTCTTGCCTCGTATAGTAATCAAAGTATGTGGGCGTATGTAAATAAAGCAAACAAAATAACCCCTTTTTAATTGGGAAAGAAGAAATCCTACTATAAGTTGTCATTATCTGTCATGGTACGTAAATGTCATGATGCGTTTAACAACTTCAACTCATATTTTGGACTTCAACGTAAACATTATTTTTTTGTGGTGACGTTCACGTTTACATTAACGTACTGGAAAGCACATACTTTGATTTTCTTTTACTATACGGAGAATGGTCGCACTGCGCAGCTTTCTGAGTGCCTTTTAAAAGGAGATATAAAACTCCGCCATTTTGAACCCTTATTACGTGTTGCCTACATTTGGCGCAATATTTTTAATAGGTGCGTTTTAATCATCCGCTTCTGCTTCGAAATTGTCGGTTTTCTTGTTTTAATCTGACAGGTTAAAACGACTAAACCGACAATTCCGGAAGCAGAAGCGGATGATTAAAACGCACCTGATATTTTGCTTGCTGCTGTCAGTGGCAGTGAATATTATTTTTGAAGTCACAGTTTATTGCTAAAGAATCAGTTAGCTCACTCGGACCAGTTGAAAGTTCCAAAATAACATCCACTCCAGAGATACAAATTCAGGATACGCAGAAGACTGCTGTTTTATTATAGGCGGTTGTCATATATTGTATTATCCGAGTTGCACAGTGTATAAACTGAAACATTGAGATCAAAAGTGCCGACGCAGAGTGAGCGATCTGATTCTTTAGCTGTAAACTGTGTCACAGGGTTTAAAATGGCCGCGCCCTATGTTGGGCGTGTCGGACCTCTCTCTTGCCTCGTATAGTAATCAAAGTATGTGACTGGAAAGACTTCAACTCTCTAATATCAAAAGTAATGCAATGATTAATGATATTTCTGAATTCCCCTTAAAATTATCTTTTAAATGATGTTTCGTATTTAAATTCTATTATTTAGAGCAGTTATTTAAAGTGTGGTCCGCGGAGCCCTAGGGCTCCGCAAAGCCTTTGTAGGGACTTCGCGAAGAAAATAACAGAAAAAGCAGTACCTATCGCTACAACGGGACTTGGCTCAAGGACTTTTTAATTTTTTTTTTGAATGAGTATTTGAGTTTGGTATTTTGGGTTGAAGGAACTTTTTTTTAAGAAGTTAGGAAGGAGTATATAATTTTGGTATTTTCGGTAGAAGGATTTTTTTTTAGAAGTCAGGAAGAGGAAGACATGATTTTGAGAATTTTGTTGTAGGGGCTCCGCAAAGAAATGGGAGGGACCTGGCAAGCGGCTAGAACAAAACCGAAATGTGTTTAGGGCTCCGTTAAATATTTCACTTTTCAAAAAGGTTCCCAAATTTATACATATTTAAAATGTATCTATCTTTTATAATGGACTAGGTATAGCAGTCAAGTTTTTTTATTACTCCATTTTAAACTTTACCACTTATAAAGTACTTTAGCAAAATTTAGCCTAAGAAATAATTGTTAAAGTTGAAAATTTTATGTTCCCTATGTCCCGTAATGTGTACCAATAAATCCAGAGAATTTTAATTTTGTTGCCAAATGTCTACTTTTATTTTCCAATTAAATCCATCTCTGTGTGTATTGCAATAAGGCCAAAAAGACAAATAAGTGGGGGGAATACACCGAAACACCCACAGAGTATGACAAAACTCTTAGGCAATCTAAGAGGGATTCATGGAGAACATTCTGTCAGGAAATTGAAAATACAACTGAAGGATACAGATTGCATTTTAACAAAAGATCCGATACACTTTAAAAACCCAAACAGGGGAATACACTAAAACTGGAATGGAAACATTAGAACTACTTCTTAAAATTCATTTCCCTGATTGCACAACAAACTCGAATGCAGCAAACCAAACCCACACCAACTAGAACTTCCAAAAAAGAGTCTCCGGCCAAGAGAGGGAAATTGCTAAACGGGTAGTCACAACAGAGAAAGTAACATAGGCAATACACACCTTCAATCCATACAAATGACCGGGACCAGATGGGGTACTGCCTGTGGTTTTGCAACAGGCACTAGAAACGCTGGCCCCCACATATTTGTAGGCTCTACAGAGCAAGTTTGGTGCATAAACATGTACCAAATATCTGGACATAAGGCATTTTTATACCTAAACCAATCTATGCCGTGGCAAAGGCCTATAGACCAATAACTCTGACGTCATTTCTATTGAAAGGATTGGAAAAACTGATTGATCAGCACGTCCGGCAAACCACTCTGATAGAGAGGCCATTTCGTACAAACCAACATGCCTATGAATCAGGAAAATCTTGTGAGTCTGCTCTGCATTATCTCGTAACCAAGATAGAGGGGGGATTCAGTAGCCAAGAAATAGTCCTAGGAGCATTTATTGACACAGAAAGAGCTTTTGATAATACCTCAATGGTAGCTGCCACTTGCAAACAGAATAAAATACACAATCTGTTGGTGTATAGAAGACATGTTACGCGGATGGTAAGTACAGGCACAAATGTTTAGTGAAACCATGCATGTGAATATCGACAGGGGATGCCCACAGGCTGGATTCCTTTCTCCTCTACTGTGGAACCTAGTGGCAGATGAACGAATGAAAACACTGAACAATTAAGGGCTGTACGCCCAAGGATATGCTGATGACATAGTTATCCTTATCCGATGGAAACACCAAAGAGCTCTTAGGCTGACAGAAACGTGGTGCGTTAGGGAAAACCTCTTGGTAAATCCTGACAAGGCACAACTCATAACCATTACTCGGAAAACAAGGTTGGAGGTCTTAGAAACTCTGACTCTGTTTGGAGTAAGACTAAACCAAGTAAACTATCTGGGTCTAATCCTAGATAGCAAACTTAATTGGAACCAACACCAAAGTATATTAACCATTGAGTAGCGACAGCTGGGGAACCGAATTCTAGTGCGCCGACGCGAAATAGAGAGGCGAGACGTCATCTAAAGATGTAAACAACTCCTTTCACTTTAGTCCGGCAGCTGATATAGGAATTCGTTGTTGTGGATTTATTAGTGATCTTTTATTGTGTTTTTGTTAAGATTTTTTGGGGTTTTGTGGGTTTTTCATTATGATAGGAATTTAATGTACTTATCGACCTTGCTCGACAAGGTCTGGTTAACAAATCACTGTTTTCATTTCCAGAAGAATATGAGAGGTAAGTACCTTGAATTACACACTATATTTGATATTTATCAAATAATAATCTTATTTTTATTGGAACTTATTTGTGAAAATTTGATGTGATAAGGCCTATTTCGTATATTTCCTATAAAATCTAGAAGATATACAGCATATGTACCAGGTATAACAATTATTATAAATGGGTTTTGCAGGATGAGCAATAAATTACTAGAATACGCAGACCATTCTTCAGATGATAGTTTCGACTTTGAAGAAGATAGAGATGACAAAGATGTTTCAGAAGGCGATTTTATTGTTGCGAATGTTGGCAAAGCATGTGTTAGAAAATATGTTACGATCGTCTATGATATATGAGAAGGGTTATGAAGTAAGGTTCCTTAAGAGGAATTTTCCCTCTAACAGATTTAGTTTTACGCCCGATTCTGCAGCAATAGTTCTTTTAAAGGATGTTGTGGCTATGCTACCGAAACCAATTGAAGACAAGAAGCCAAGGTTTAAAGGGATGGTGTATTTTAATATTGGTTTGGCCGAGTTTAGCTTGGCATAAGTTTTTTAGTTATATTTTTTATTTTTTCAGGCATTTTTGATACTTTAGATACCTACCTATATTTAGTAACTTTTTAGTTACCAAGAAGATAATGTTATTGATTTTTTTTTATGAAAAATAAAGTTTTATTAAATATAGTTAATTAGTGTCCATTTTCTCCCTTATCCTCGTCCATAGTCTCATCGAGACAATGAGACAATGGACAAGCGGCACGGTTGTATTTTATATATTATAGTTTTGATAACAATAATTAGGATATGGCAATGAGCCTTTGGTAGTAAGATGTATAATAGTCAAGGTTTCTGACTGAGCACGAACGAGTGTTAAATTTGTCTTTTTATGGAATTTAGGGCTATAGGTATAAAAAGTGTCCATAGTCTTCTGGGTCTCCCCTAATCTAAGATTCGAAGTAAGGTTAACCTTCATTCATCTGTTTAACGGATGAAAGTTTATTTTTAGGTTTATAAATATACAGCAAATGGGTTATCTAAAAAAAATATTGTTAAGAATTTATTTTCTTAAAATAAAAAAAACGACACCCTACAAAGTATTCCCAGGATGCTTCGAACCAATAGCCTTTAAGGCTGCTTGGTTGTCTGTTGGAATCAAGATGTTTGCTTTTTGTAATTCCTTCCTAAATTTTTTCTTATACTCAACTCGATTACATGTATCTCAGCCTGAAACACAGTTGTATGTTTTCCCAAAAAGATAGTGATGTCACATTTGAATTTAACTGCATATAGGCCAGAGTCTCTCCCCTTAGGTCAGTGAAGTTGGTCCCTCAATGATATTTTTCAAGAAAAAATCTATTTGCTAGAATGCACTAGTGACGCACCAATATGCACAACTAATTACACAGGTTTACAAAAAAAAGTGCGGACTATTTGACCGGACCATGGTAATCCTAGGTATTTTGGCGTCCTGAATCTGATCCCGGGGTCAGTTTTGCTCCATCACGTCAGAAAAGCCAGATTTCAAGATCATTCAGAGGTTAAAATGGTGCTTTTTCGGAACCGGCCCCGGGACAATTTCTAAAGCAATCTGTTAAGTTAAGGGGTATTGTCTAGGTCGTGAATACCTTCCAAAAATTGGACAGGGGCCATGAATCTTGAAGAAGATGACGGTAGAAGAGGAAGAAGCATGGAAGAGCTTCGTGAATGTTTCTCAGAAATTTCTTGGAAATACTAAAAACCCAAACTATATGGAATTGGTGAAGGACTATTAAGCCATTGGATGGTTGATGAGCTTGAAGGTCCACTTCTTGGATTCCCAGAAAACCTCGGACATTTTAGAGAAGAACAAGGTAAAAGATTCCACCAAGATATAAAAGAGATGGAAAGACGATACCAAGGTTTCTGAGACATTAACATGTTGGCAGATTACTGTTGGAACTTGAACATGTTGGCAGATTACTGTTGGAACTTGAAGAGGGATACCAACAAGGGGCATAAGAGAAAGGCAGGCGCTTAGAAGGAGTTTTGATCAAAACTGCAGACCCCATAAACAAGCACGCAAAGATTGAGAAAATGGGAGGGAAAAAGTGGGAGGCGTGGGAACTCACTATAAACAAGCACCCCGAAGGGACCAGTATCTGCAACGTCCCCGTCGTTGTTCCTGGGTAATGCTAATAGCAGAACTTATCAGCAGACTCTAAGTCATAGTCGCGAATATTGTGTGATAGCTACACCAATTCACTTGGTGGAATGTGACGTCTTCTCAAAGGGATTGAATTCCAATGGCCTGCCTTAGCAGAACAAAGATGGCAAACTCTGAAGTTGCGGGTTGGGATCTTCGGGCCATTTTCTGTAACCTTAGTTTGCCTCGGACAGTATACTCAGCTTCACCCAATTTTTGGACGATATTCTAGGATCACTTTGAGAAGTGCTGGCATTAACTGACGATAACTTAATTGTCAAAATTCTACTTGTTGGCAAGGGAAGCAAAATTCACGAGCTCGAATACCTCGAACCACTCCAATGTTCTGGAAAGGTTCTAGGGCTATTTGAGTCAGTGCTGGATCTACTGGCATTATCTCACAGCAAATGGTTCGCGAAATTGAACACCTTGACAGGGAGATCGAAATTCGCGAGATACAACGATCATGACAACATTTTATCCACATGGCTTGCCCTGCGCTGATCCTGGTCGAGATTTGGGGACCGTTTCCAATGTTTGGAAGGTATTCAAGACCTATACAGTTACCCATCAACTTAACAGATCGCTTGAGAAATTGTCCCGGAGCAAGTTCCAAAAAATCACCATTTTGAAAACTGACCCCGGGATTGGACTCAGGACGCCAAAATACCTAGTAATACCATGGTCTGGTCAAATAGTCCGAACTTTTTTTTTTGTAAACCTGTCTTATTTTTTGCATCACCATGAGAAACTGAGGGGGGGTCAGCGTTCATTTCAAGAGAGCATACAGGTGCAACAGTTTTTTACGAAAACTTCATAGGAGAGGGGCTAAATTCACGATAAAGAAATTGCTGAAGGGAGGCTGCAAAAAGTTTTATTGGTGGTGAATATCATTAGAGGTGCATACCGGTGCAATTAGCTAACTGGTGCATTACAGTAAATCTTGAATAAATCTTGAAATTTTTACTGGAGGGAGGAAAAGACAGCGTTCATTTGCTTCCCTCCACAAAGAAATAGTTGAAGTTTCTCAAGGAAGGTGTGCTGCAAAAAATTTGTGGTGCAGATTGGTGCATCAGTAGTGCATTCTAATACAATAGTTTTTTTTTTTTTTAAATTTCATTAGGGGACCAACTTCACTGACCTCAAATAATTTCTGTTAGCTCTCTCATTAAGGCATCAAGTCGACATTGGTTTAAGGAATAAGGAAACCAGGGATGAAACCAGGAATGAAACCAGGGATGAAACATTATCGAATTTTTAAAAATTCTACTTACGCAAATATTCTATTTATTTACCTGTCAACACTGGAATCTCTACTAGGCGGCCTTTTATAATGATCGAAATGGTCTATTGAACTCTGTTGTCCGATATTTCCTAAATACGGTCTATCACCCGACACTCTTCTACTCATCCTTCTTAATGAATTGCCTTGCATAATATTTTCGTCTAAGGGTATTGAATTTCTAGGCGAAGCTGAAGGTTTGAATCCAACATCCGAATTAGGCATTTTAAATCCAATATCGGGGTTAGGCGATTTGAAACCAATATCTGTGTTTAGCTCTCCCGGATTGTTTGGTCCTAGATCGTTAAATCCTGAGGGGTTATTGGGATTTTTATAGAGGTTAGTAGGTAAATTGGGATAAGGATTACTTGGTTTATTACTAATATCGTTATACTGAGAGGTAGGGTAAGGGTTACCTTGCGGGTTTTGACCCGGATTCGCCCAACCCATTTTATTGTAACCCGATTGGTTGGGTACTTGGTTAGGTATTTGATTCGATTTGTTAGGTATTTGATTAGATTTGTTAGGAATTTGATTAGGCGTCTGATTCGGTATCTGGTTTGGTAATTTTTGATTCGTACTATTGGCATTTGTGTTCTGCTCTAAATCCAGACTTTGTTTTTGTTGTTGCATTTGCATTTCTCTAAATTTGTTTTGCCTAGCTTTTAACCTTTCTAGTCCAGGTTGTTTGAAGTCAGGGGCATATTGTTTGGCTACACCTTCAGCTATATCTGAATCTTCTTTAGCGTGTGCTGCGGCTATATCAGCTTGTTCTGCTTTTCCCCTAGCTGTAGCTGTCCTATTAATAGCTATGTCAGACTTTTGTAATGCTATTTTTGAAGCTCTTTGTGCTGCATTTACCGCAGCATCTATCCTTTCTCTAAATTTCGCGCTCCTCATTAAGAATAGTTTTTTCTTTTGACTAGTTATTAGAACATTGTTTTTGTATTTTCCTTCTTCTTTTTCGCCATTGCTGAACGTTGTTACACCATAACCATATTTTTTGTTGTTGTACCATTCACCTTCGTACTTGAGACCGTCGGATCGTTCGCTGATACCATACCCAGATCTTTTGTCATTTTTCCATTCGCCCATGTACGTTTCTACTACACTAGGGTCCATCGTTTCATCCTGAAACAATAAATATAATATAATAAATAATTATTATATAATAAACAATTATTGAGTATAAAGGTGTAAAGAAAATAATACTTTATTTCTTATAAAGTCAATTTTAAATGACGATAGGTTTCGATGTGATTATTTCATCATCAGACAAACCTAAATAAAGAGTCATTGAATCACTGTATTGAAAAGTTTAAAATATTTAACACAAAAAAAATAAAAATTTTGACAAAAATCAAGAAGTCAAAGAGAAGAGTTAAAAAAAAATTGACTTGTTATGACATATCCATATATAAGCTACGTATTTTAACATTAAAAGAGTTAATAGTCACTGTAAATATATATTATATTAAAAGAGACTTTTTGTTTTAAATGGTAAAAAACTTAAACAAGAGAAAAGTGCCTCTTTTTGGTGGGAAAATTTACAAAATATAAAATTTTTTAATAAACGAGAACTGGATGTATTAAAATGGAGTTAAAATTAGAAAAAGTTTTTATGTAGGTGAAATTGTAAAACAATGACAGTCCATCTATAAAATAAGTTACGAACAGAGACAACAGAGACGTGTAACTTAATAGAAACATTTAGTCGGTAGTCCATTTAAATTTACATTGAATCCATGTTTAAATTTCCCGCCCCACATTTTTAAATTTTCCCGCTATTTATGACTGGAATCACACAGCAGTAAGAGGCATTAAGAAAAGAAGAAAAATGCCTAGTGGCGCCATTATATACTGGTTGCGATAACAATAGTTTAAACAACTTTTGCCGAACAAAAAAAAAATATGTTGAGTCACACTTCTCGCTAGGTTGTCTCTGCTCCCAAGTAGCACATGATGGGTTTATAAAAGTTGTAAGAACATTCTTAAAACAAATGTTTATAAGAGAATAAGATTTATAATTTTACTTGTAGATATTCTTACAGGCTTTATACAACTCCTTTGAGCTTAAATTGGGCACCAAATTATAAACCAAAAAAGTTTTTTAGTTCCCTTATAAATGCTTTATTAATGTGCCTCAAAGTATAATCAATCTTATTTGTAGATACTTATAAGGGTTTAATAAAGCAATCCCAAAGATTATTTTAGAGACACATTCATAGTTACTGTATTTGCAACCACTTTGGAACCGTAAACACTTTAACGCTATATTTATAAGAAATCTTTATTCGGAACCTTTAAAAAGCAATAAGACTTATAAGTAATTTTATCCTCCTTTAATAAATTTTTAATCTTTATTCGTATGGGGTGAAATAGGTTTTACAAAGAAAAAAAGTTTTATTTATATATTCTCCAAAAACAAAATTGTTGTGAACTCTTTAGATTACTGCAGTGTCTAAATGTATAAGGATTTCAGTTGATATGGCGTCTTGCAATATACTTTAGTTATGAGACATGACAAAAAAGTAGGAAAATATATTACCTTATCGTTTAACAAAGATGCAAATTTTACAACGAGGTTCACTTTAATGTGAAAGTCTATACTATTTTATGGCGATTTTTTCACGCCCCCACACTAAACATTTAATTGAACGTTAAAAATAAAAACAATTTTTTATGTAAGAAAGTGAAAATGTATTAATAAAAGAAACATTAGATTAAATTATTCTTACTAATAAGCAATAATTTAATATCTGGTGTTTACAGACCATTATTACATTATTTCACCAAAAAATTTTCTTTTTAATTTTTCATTTCATGTATTTTACATTTCAAATATGGCAAAGGTTTTAGGTAAAACATTAATGCTTTAAAAACAGCAACAACAAAGCAATTTGTCTAACTTTTCCATAATTTACAAGAATTTATTGCCAATTATCTACGAGGGTACTTTCAAATGTGGTATACCTAATCCCGTACTATTTAACATAATTTAATATAATTACCAGACTTTAAAGAACTAATAGTTTCTATTACAGTCAAAATATTACACCAGAGGAATAAACCACGACGAATCAAATACAAAATAACTTAGACGCATTTTGCCAAATTATAAAGTTGATAAAAATATAGTAAAAATCGTTTCAACTTTGAAATATTTTTAGGTGGGCTACCAAATTTTATTGGTTATGTAGACACAACCAAAACTAACTAGCACCATAGAAAAATAAAAAGGTTTGAATAAATGGCGGGACTTGTTTCCTTGTTGGTAGTTCAACCGTAAGCGCTTTGCGCGCTGCTATCACTAAATTCAAACTCGTTTTACACCCATAAAAACATACGTTTTCAAAAATAATGACAAAGAAATTAATAACTTTACTGATTTACCCCTTTAAATTTTACTTTAATATAATGTGTGATCAAATACAGGGATAATCTTTAATAAATGTAAGACGTTCTAAAATCGCAGACTTTCAGACCAAAATGGTAACCAACGATTATCTTTCAACATTTAATCATTCAACGATAATCGCTGAACGATCATTGCGATCGTCACACCGAATAAAACGCATCTTTAGGCTGCCTACTCGATGCTACAATGTAATTATTTAAAAAGTGAGAGAAAAATAATAATTTACCGATACATCGTTACTTAACAATTAGATTTGTGACAATAATATTCGTGCGATAGCCATTCATTATACACACGTGTTTAAGAAACAATTTACAGAGCTTGATAATTGTTTTTGATAATTAAAAAAAATATGAGGTCAAGCTTAATTTATTTCTTTCTTGCTCTTAAAATTTACCCAGTAACTTTCAAAATGTTACCTAGTACTTAAACTAGGTAATAAAGAGAGGACGCGTAACAAATATATCGAGTACACCTAGTATTCTGTGCCTATTACACAGATTTACAAAAAAAAAGTCTGGAGTATTTGACCAGACCATGGTATTCCTAGGTATTTTGACATCCTGAATCCAATCCCGGGGTCAGTTTTGCCCCATCACGTCAGAAAAACAAAATTTAAAGGTCATTTAGATGTCAAGATGGTGATTTTTTGGAACTGGCTCCGAGACAATTTCTCAAGGGATCTTTTGAGGGGTAACTGTGTTGGTTTTTAAATACCTTCCAAACATTAGGAACGGTCCCTAAATCTCGACCAGGACCAGCGCAAGGCCAGCCATGTGGATAAAATGTTGTCATGATCGTTGTATCTCGCGAATTTTGATTTCCCCGCCAAGGTGTTCAATTTCGGCAATCCATTTGCTGTGAGATAATGCCACTGGATCCAGCACTGACCCAAATGGCCCTAGAACCTTGCCAGAACATTGGGAGTTATGCTCAAGTGGTTTGAGGTATTCGAGCTCGTGAATTTTGCTTCCCTTGCCAACACGTAGAATTTTGGCGATTGAGTTATCGTCAGTTAATGCCAACACTTCTCAAAGTGCTCCTAGAACATTGTCCAAAAATTGGGTGAAGCTGAATATACTGACCGGGGCAAATTAAGGTTGCAGTAAATGGCCCGAGGATCCCAACCCGCAACTTCAAAGTTTGCCACCTTTGTTCTGGTGAGGCAGGCCATTGGAATTCAATCCCTTTGATAAGACGTCACATTCCACCAACTGAATTGGTGTGGTTATCATACAATATTTGCGACTATAACTTAAGACTCTGCTAATAAACTCAGTTCTGCTATTAGCATTACCTAGGAACAACGACGGGGACGTTGCAAATACTGTTCCCTTTGGGATGCTTGTTTATAGTGAGTCCCCTCTCCTCTCACTTTTTTCCCTCCCACTTTCTCAATCTTTGCGTGCTTGTTTATGGGGTCTGCAGGTTTGATCAAAACTCCTTCTAAGCGCCTCTCTTATGCTCCTTGATATTCCTCTTCAAGTTCCAACAGTAATCTGCCAACATGTTAATGTCCCAGAAATCTTGGTAGCGTCTTTCCATCTCTTTTATATCTTGGTGGAATCTTTCACCTTGTTCTTCGCTAAAATGTCCAAGGTTTTCTGGGAAATTTCCCAAATGCGAATCCAAGAAGTAGACCTTCCAGCTCATCAAACATCCAATAGCATTACAGTTCTGGAGCAAGCCCTCCACCAATTCCATATAGTTTGGGTCTTTAGTATTTCCAAGAAATTTCTAAAAAACATTCGCTACTTCTTTTCTTAAGAGCTTTGACGAATTGTTTTATCAACCCCAATTTAATATGGAGAGGAGGTAGTAAAATACTTTTGGGATCCACTAATATCACTTGGTATATGTTCTTCTGACCCACAACAAAATTGTCCCTTGATGGCCAAACCTTCCTTTGGTAATGCTCATCACGAGCTCGACTGTCCTATTTACATAAAAAACAACGGTATTTTGTAAATCCACTCTGTTGTCCCAAAAGTATTGTTACCACCTTCAAATCTGTACATATTTTTCATTTGTACCAACGGTAATTGATTTTTTGGAGCAAATAGTTCATATTACAGTAGTTCTCACTCAATATCATCGAGTAGGCTATTGGAATGGATGCTAGGTTATTGCCATTGTTCAAAAAACAGCTTTTAAACTCCTCTTGGATAAGTCAATAAAGAGACGCCAATCGTCCGAATCATGTTTGACTTCAATTTCACCGAATAAACCTTCTATATCTCTGCAAAATACTAATGATTCATGTTGGTCATAATATTTTCGGAAAGGCTCATCCCTATTTCTATAATACGTTCCTATCGTTCCTTTCTCTAGACAACTTCTAAACTCCCTGAAATGACTAGTCGAAGCCCTTAATCAAATGACCAGCAGAAAACAGTTGCCTGTAAAGAACTCACACTAGAGGATGGCAGTGGTACTCAGATGAAGAAAAATATTTGTGAGCCACGATACCGACAAGGGAAAGAAAGTTTTTCCGAATTTTACTATATATTTTGACTATACTGGGTACTATACAAGCACTAATAAAATAGAGATAATGCATTCGAATCTGGCGGTGTCCTGTATGATTCCCGGTGAGAAGAATTTCCGCTCTTACCCGCTGAAAACACGTACAACAAAGAATTTTCCCCGATACAGTCTAGAGTGGAATTGGACCTTGCTCCCAACCCCTGCGCTTTTCTCACAAAAACTTGACCCAACCTAACCTAACCGTGACGGAAGCTGACCTAACCTGACCAGACCCAACCTCACCCAACCTAAGGTGAACCAAATCTAACCTCACCCACCCGTCATCCAACATAACCTCGCCTAACCTGAACCAACCCTAATCTCATTTAGCCTCACCGTAACCGTAATCTAACCTGACTCAAACCTTATGGAAGCATAATTCAACCTAACCATAACCACGACCACCCTCACCTCACCTAACCAAACATAACCCTGATCTGACGTAAACCCAACCTAACCGAACCTCACTCAAACCTAATCTAACTTCACGTAACTGTAACGGAAGCTGAACTCACCCAATCTATCCTAGCCTTAACCGCAACGAACCTAACATAAACCTTAGCCAACATTAGCTGACCCCAACCGTAACCTGACCTCATCAACTCTAAGCTCAACCGAGTTTTACCTGACTCAACCTAACTATCGTCGCGTAGTCTTGTCGCCGGGAATTTCGGGAGCGGGATTCCTGACAGTGGTCCATTGAATGTATTTCCGTTGTCGAGAATTCTACACCTTGTGTCACCTCTGGCGGGAGAAGCAGCTGATCGATTTGAAGTTCTGGCAAGGTTCTATAGGTTCTCAGATCAGTGCTGAGTGGACCGCCGTTCGACCAAAGCAAATTTATCGTCAAATTCTCGCTTCTTGGCGGGGAACTTGAAAATCGTAACTTAGTAATTACGGGGCCACTTCCTACCCACTGGGCCGGACCTAGGTAGCACACGTAGCATGAGATAAACATTTTGGCAAGATTCTGGGTCCTTAAGGTTAATGCTGGGTGGACGGTCATGAACTCACAGCAAATGCATCGTCGCAATCAACGCTTGGCAGTGGAATAGAAAGTCGCCAGTTAGTAACCCCCTGAGCCAGTTCTCCACCTTGGGCCAGACCTGAGCGGGACACGAAGCATAACTCCAATGTTCTGGCAAGGTTCTAGGGCCATTTGGGTCAGTGTTGGATCCACTGGCATTATCTCACAGCAAATGGATCGCCGAAATTGAACACCTTGGCAGGAAGATCAAAATTCAGTTACCCCTCCACTTAACAGATCGCTTGAGAAATTGTCTCGGGCCGGGTTTCGAAAAAAGCACCATTTTAACCTCTAAATGACCTTTAAATCTGGGGTTTTCTCACGTGATGGGGCAAAACTGACCCCGGGATCTGATTCAGGACGCCAAAATACCTAGGAATACCATGGTCCGGTCAAATAGTCCGGATTTTTTTTTTTGTAAGCCTGTGTTATCTATTGGCCGCCATTATTTTGGGGCTTTGCATTTCGGTGACACCAAAGCTTTTGTTTGTGTTTATTTCTGATTTTTGAAATAAACGACATTTAGTAATTGATTTATTGTGTGGCATATCAGTGTAAAAGTTATAGCGGCAAGAAAGAAGCAGATATTATGTTTCACAAATAAATGATAAACATTAATCGTTTTTGCTTTATATATTTTCTTATATTTTTTATTTTATTTGGGGTTATACAATTTGATATTTACATATTGTACTTCGGAGTAATAAATTTTACCCACCGAGTTTGTTTATTTTTTAATTTTCATTGATATATTTGAGCAATTAATAATATAAAAATAGCCAAACAAGTATTTTTTCCAGTGGCGTGGCGTGTCGTACAATTTTAAATATTAACTTTTATTAAATTATAATTTACTTTTGCTTTTTATTTAATTGCAGCAATGTTTATTTGTTGTTTTATTTTAGATTTTCTGTGAATCCAGCAAAAAATTCTTTGGATTCAGACAACGATAATTGCAAATTGGATGCCTACGCCAAATGATAGATTGTGTACAAAACATTCTGAATGGGATTTTTTTTACTAATTGGAGCAGCTCCCACTATATTTCCTGAATTCCCTAAATACATGCAGCCAAAGAAGGTGCGTATACTAATAAACATAATTAAACATATACAGGGTGTTTTTTAAACATGCGGAAAAAATTCAAGGGGTTGTTACTTGGACTATTCTAAGAATATTTTGTTCCTTGATGATTTTTAAAATTCCGTTTCGTTTCGAGAAAACTATTTTTATTATTTTTAAAATTATTAATAGTCAAAATAAAAATAGATACTACACTCTGTTAACCAAGAACATATTTTTAACAACATTCCAATTACTAAAAACGGCTTATTTTTTCCACTTAACAAAACGGATTTTCAAAAATCATCAAAGGACAAAATATTCTTAGAATAGTCAAGGGAATTTTTGCAGAATGTTTAAAAAATACCCTGTATATTTTCATTATTATGTTATGTACCTTTAAGAATTGAGCAACCTTTTTGTGTATAAATCAAAACATTGCCTTAATAATTGATTGTTTGTAGGACTTAAAAGAAGAGCATTGTATTTGGACGCTGAGCCAGGTCCTTCAAATAGAACTGCAAATAAAGAATCTATCCTGAAAAGCCCTAGCATAAAACGGCTTAGAAGACAACTTTTACAACAGGTAGAAAAGAATAAAGAAAAAGCACAAAACAAATCAAAGTTCTTAAACAAAAACTTAAAAGATATAAAAAAGAGTTGTTTCGCTAAAACTTGTTGTTATTATACCAAATTAGTATTATTTAAGGGTCAGTAATAAATTTATCTTTATTTATGTATAATTTTTCTTATTAGCTTAATTTAATAATAGTGTCATTCTTTATTAAAAAATAAATCTTTTTGTAATGCATGTAGATCATTTTGTTTTATTTTGCGAAATTTTTTCTTGTGTCTTATTTTTACTTATTTATTTTATACTTTTTACAATTTGAACTTGCTTTATACCTAAAAATATCAATAAAGTAAGTACTAATAACATAAATACGAGTTCGTTTTTTATTTCCAACATGTTACGCCTTTGGTTGAATATCGTTGGTGTCAGAATGGAACAAGATTTTCAGCGGCGTCATGAGTCCTCTCTTTATTACCTAGTCTAAGACCTAGTAATTAAACCCTAACCTCACTATTTCAATATGCACCTGTCTATTTTGTAATGGTATTTTTATAAATTCATTTATATATCACAATTGACATTTCCTCTTGACAATACAAGCCTACCATTCTGTAAATATATTTTTTTATATTTTTAATATTGACGAAGATATTGGACTTTTTCACACGAATGGATCGCCTATTTAAATTGATAAAGCGATAAAGCACAACATGCATGCATGATTGCGAAATTCATATTCACTTTTTGGCCGCCGACCAAAACCGACCTTGAATATTTATTTCAGATAATCCTTGTTCATTTGTTTTTATTTATCTATTATTATCATAGCACAGTCAACGAGTAGGAAATTATATACCGGATGTCACATATTTTTGGCAGAATAAACGTGTTTTTTATAAATCGTTTTTACGCCGATCCTACTTAAATAGCAATTTTAAGGAAGCAAATAATAATTTTATACATTTATTTTTGATTTTGAATGCTATAGACGGTCGTAGAGAAAATCATGTTCCTAACTCATGTGGATGAACTGTAGATGCATGCTAGAAAATATCACTTTCTGCACTAGTTAGGAAAACTATTTGTTTTGTTTTTCTAACTAGTTCTTTTAACTTTTTTCTATCTCGTCAAAAAAATCTTATCATAATCTTTTTGTTAATATTTTTTCAGTAAACCCCAGTTACGTCTTTACCCTAAAAGCACGTGGGGGTTTGAGCCCATAGTCCCCGGCCTGATGTGGGCCCTAGTGCCTGTATATTTTTTATCCAATTATATTCAATTTTAAAAAGACATTGGTTTATCTAACGATCACCTATGACCTATGTTAGCGCTATAGTGTTGAAAGTACATACTGCATGCTACACGTTAACATCAATGATGATACGAGTACTAGGTTAAATTTTATCAACATTTCATCATTTAATAGTTTATCTGATTAGAAAAACGAAGATTTTAGTTACAAGAAATTAACGACTTTTGGATATCACGTTCACTTAGATATTTACATTAACAGTAATTAAATCAGTAACTAAATTATTAATTGAATCGGCAATTGAATCAGTAATCGAATCGGTAATTGAATCAGTAAATGAATCGGTAATTAAATCAGTAATTAAATCAATAATTGAATTAATAATTAAATCGCTAATTTAAACACTAATTGAATCACTAATTGAGTCGCTAATTTAATTAGTAATTAATTCACTATAAATAATCGAATCACTAATTGAATCAGTAATTGTATAACTATCAATATAGTAACTGCATAATCAAAATCAGTAATTAAAATAGAATTAGTAATTGAATTAATAATTGAATTAGTAATTGAATTAGTAATTGAATTAGTAATTAAATTAGTAATTGAATTAGTAATTGAATTAGTAATTGAATTAGTAATTGAATTAGTAATTGAATTAGTAATTGAATTAGTAATTGAATTAGTAATTGAATTAGTAATTGAATTAATAATTGAATTAGTAATTAAATTAGTGATTGAATTAATAATTGAATTAATAATTGAATTAATAATTGAATTAATAATTGAATTAATAATTGGATTAGTAATTGAATGAGTAATTAAATTAGTAATTAAATTAATAATTGAATTATTTATTGAATTAGTATAATTAAATCAGCATTAAAATCAGTAATTAAATCAGTAATTTAATCTAAGCAAATCAGTTTTCTAATTAGTAATATAATCTGTCATTAAATCAATAATTAAATCAGTAATTAAATCAATAATTAAATCAGTAAATAAATCAACAAGAAATTAACGACATTTGGATGTCACGTTCACTTAACAATTTATATTAACAGTAATTATATTAAATTATTAATTGAATCGGCAATTGAATCAGTAATCGAATCGGTAATTGAATCAGTAAATGAATCGGTAATTAAATCAGTAATTCAATCAGTAATTAAATCAATAATTGAATTAATAATAAAATCGCTAATTTAAACACTAATTGAATCACTAATTGAGTCGCTAATTTAATTAGTAATTAATTCACTATAAATAATCGAATCACTAATTGAATCAGTAATTGAATAACTATCAATATAGTAACTGCATAATCAGAATCAGTAATTGAAATAGAATTAGTAATTGAATTAGTAATTGAATTAGTAATTGAATTAGTAATTGAATTAGTAATTGAATTAGTAATTGAATTAGTAATTGAATTAGTAATTGAATTAGTAATTGAATTAGTAATTGAATTAGTAATTGAATTAGTAATTGAATTAGTAATTGAATTAGTAATTGAATTAGTAATTGAATTAGTAATTGAATTAGTAATTGAATTAGTAATTGAATTAGTAATTGAATTAGTAATTGAATTAGTAATTGAATTAGTAATTGAATTAGTAATTGAATTAGTAATTGAATTAGTAATTGAATTAGTAATTGAATTAGTAATTGAATTAGTAATTGAATTAGTAATTGAATTAGTAATTGAATTAGTAATTGAATTAGTAATTGAATTAGTAATTGAATTAGTAATTGAATTAGTAATTGAATTAGTAATTGAATTAGTAATTAAATTAGTAATTGAATTAGTAATTGAATTAGTAATTGAATTAGTAATTGAATTAGTAATTGAATTAGTAATTGAATTATTAATTGAATTAGTAATTGAATTAGTAATTGAATTAGTAATTGAATTAGTAATTGAATTAGTAATTGAATTAGTAATTGAATTAGTAATTGAATTAGTAATTGAATTAGTAATTGAATTAGTAATTGAATTAGTAATTGAATTAGTAATTGAATTAGTAATTGAATTAGTAATTGAATTAGTAATTGAATTAGTAATTGAATTAGTAATTGAATTAGTAATTGAATTAGTAATTGAATTAGTAATTGAATTAGTAATTGAATTAGTAATTGAATTAGTAATTAAATTAGTAATTGAATTAGTAATTGAATTAGTAATTGAATTATTAATTGAATTAGTAATTGAATTAGTAATTGAATTATTAATTGAATTAGTAATTCAATTAGTAACTAAATTTAGTATAATTGAATCAGTATTTAATCAGTAATTTAATCTAATCGAATCAGTAATCGAATTAGTAATAGAATCTGTAATTGAATCAATAATTAAATCAGTAATTAGGTCAATAATTTAATCAGTAAATAAATCAGTAATTCAATCAGCAATTGAATTATTAATTAAATCAATAATTAAATTATTAATATATCAATTATTTTTCCTTTATTCGACCATTTTGCATTACTCATGGGAAAAAAGTGCGGGACTTTTGAATCTATAACTTTTCAAACAACTTATTTTCTATCTCTCTTTTATCCTTAACCTAACTACAACTGTAGAGTTGGCAACAAGTCTTGGCGGGTGTATCTCCTTAGCAAAAATCAAATCTAATTATTTATTAACACAAACATTCGCTAAAAATATAGAAATATTGCAAATTTTTATAACCATTTAAGAAGGTTTAGATGACGATGATATTAAATATCTAATATTAAAAAACTTCGAACTGATACAAATGTTGGAGAGCGCACCCAAAAACTATAAATTCGCCACTAACTGCTGTCCTTAAATTATAAGGAGAGGCACAATCTATATTAAAGTCAGTTCTAGAATGTAAGTGATCGGCGCATGCTCAGATGTCAAAATAAGAGTGGCACTAATAATGAGTGACCTTAAGTGAACTTGCAATAACTCTCTAATAATATTTGCAGATGTGGAATTGATATTTGCGATAGAAAACACAACTACAACGAATTCTGATGTTTTTTAAAGGAAATAGGATATGTACATGAATAATAGAGATAATAAATAATGAGGCCAATTAAAGCCTACTTTTACTGTCACTTAAACAGCAGAACAGTAGGAACCTATTCTAATGTACGTGGTCAGACGCAGTCCTGACTATAATAATCAATAAAGTCACAAAACAAAAGTAATATTATAGATTTTCATTCTCGTTTTTTGGCTTTCCTAAAGGGCCCCCAAGGGCCTCATCATGGTTTCACCATGCTCTATACATTTCTGTTGCGTGTACTGTGCTACATAATTTATTTTTTGAATAATTGATTTCGAATAATTTATCTACATAGCACTACATTCGTATGTGAGTGAATATCCGTCTTATTATCTCAATACACGTTTTCACTAAAGTTGATAGTCTAGAGATGTCAAAAAAATCTGAATAATACACGAATTTTGATACACCGTATGTGTATCTATGGCTTAATTTAAAAACTCGTCCTACGTGCTTGATAATGAATTATGCTTTGAGATTATTTATGTCAGAAGCATAAGTCTTTATTTCACTCTTCACTTCATCATTGCAAATACCTAACTCCCCTTTCAGATTAATAAAATGAACTACTTCATTTTCCCAACGATACACAATTCGAGACAATCTTTATATATTTGGTTGATCAGATTATTTTCGGTGTGCGGCAAAATTCTAGTATTTGGCATTGATTGTTTTGTTGGGAGAGTTAGAAATTTTAATTGGCTTATTGTCTACAAAAGCTTTACAAATTAACCTCAGTACATTTAAAATGAAATACTTTTTAGATGATTGTTTTAATTCCTTTATTTATTCAATTAGTTAAAATTGTTGATATTGTATAATAACCGAATTTATAGCTATTTGATTTTATATATAATTTTATTTAATTTGTGCTACTCCAAAACCGTAGTTTTACAATATAATCAATTTTACTGAAACCCTTTTTTGATTAAAATAATGATTGTTGATTGTATTACACAATTCCATAACAAATAAATATCAATAATAAAATTGTTGTGTTATAAATTTCCTGAACAATTATTTTCTTTTTCTACTCTCTTTAAATCAGTTATTAATATTTTATTTTATTTTTACAATGTTCAGCGGGATTAACTCAATTTACAAGACAAGGTAGGAGCTATAACAATTAAAATGAATAAAAAGTAACAAAAACAAAATTTTTGAGATTGAGCATTCTCAGGATTTTTATTTAATAAAAGAAAAAATTTAATATTAATTCTAATGCATAGTTAGGATTCCCCACTCGACTATTCACTGTTGGGTAACAAAGCCTATATAGAACACGAGGCTTATAACCGAAGTAGTTGATACTGATGAAACCAAATATAAAAACAATATACAAAAAAATCCAAAATTATAAAATAATGACAGAAATCGAGGGCTAAACCGTTGCTGTACCATGGTGTATAAGAAATCTGTATAGTTCTTCCATTATCAATTGCAGATCATAAAAACTCGTTCGGAACCTTTACCGACAATTTTGTTTGATCTGCCATAGGCGTAGATACCTACCTCATTTTATAAATTTATTTTATTAATACTTTTAATATATATCATATGCAAGAAAGTATTCGTTAAAAGGAAATCGAATAATTATAAACTGGACGTTATTATAAGCCCTTATTTAGACAGATTCACTTAATTGTAATCTTACTTGGACTATAAAAAAATCATTATAGCTCGTTAACTTGCTACAACTGAATATTAAATTATACAACGTAAAAAAGCGAGTAAAGTGTACCTGCTTGTAAGGGCGTTTGGTTTAAACAGGGTACCAGACGTGAACTGAACCCTTTTTGTTACCCCTTTCGTTCTTTTTCTGGAAAACGAAATTTCAAAGAAATTTGGTATTTTAAGGAGCTGCCGCGAGTGGTAGGATGCGTTGTTCATAACGATTACTGACTGTGGTGGAATGTAAGGTAAAAGCTGTTCATTAAACTGTTTTTCAAATAATTCTGCTGTCATATCTTCATGATAATCAGCTGCATAGTTTTTAATTTGTTTAGCAGATAATAATAAAGCATTAGGCACGAAACCGTCTTTGCTTCCAGCGTGTACTATTATAATGCCTTTCCCTTTAGAACATGCCCCATTCAAACAGCAATTTTTACTACTGCCAACCCAACCGAAATTTACTACATCGTGACTGTCAAACCATGTTTCATCTAGATAAATTATGTGTCTATTAGAACTTCTGAAGCCTTTTATCTGACGCAAATAATCTTGTCGCCATTGAACTATCCTTGACAATTCGGTGATTGCCATCTGTTTATTCAATTTTTTGTGTTTAAAACCACATGCTGATAAAACTTGACGCAATGTTTCCAAACTGGTATAAGTGTATCCTGGAAAATCTGCCACCTTTTGCTGTATTACTTCCAATGTCGGAACCCTGTTCTCCTTATATAAACTATAAATTGTCCTTCGTATAAAATCTTGGGTAGCTCTGTCAACTGATTTCAGTTTTTTCTTTACATGTTTTTCGGTTTTATGAATAATCCACAGCAACCCCTTTCGTGACTACTGGATAAACGGAAAATTTATTTACTTTAGTTAATTCAGCAATTGTTATTATGAACGCATTATCAGACTGCTGAATATTTTCCTTTTTTAAACATTCGAATATATTTAAAATAACTTGTTGTGTTTGTATATCTAAATCCTTATCGTTAAAGTCATACCTGTCTTTAATCTCACTACACTGTGCAATTTCATTTTCTTCATTCGCCCATGGTCTAAAGAACGCCATATTTATATTTATTAAAATAAATTTAAATTAAACCAACCACACATACAAAACACACCGCACGACAGTACTCCACTGATATCGCAGACTGTCTTCCAGGAATATTTTCGAACACCTGCCTTCCGTAAACCTTCGGCCAATACAGTACATTTAAGTTTACGATTCGATGTTTCCATTGGTAAAAAACTGATGGTTCGTTTAATATTTACCGCTTTGTATAAGGGGAGTAAACATTATTTTTCTTTTCTTAATTTGGCATGAGTACCGTGCGTATATATTAAATATTGATGATTTCCCACATAACTGTGTTCTGCAATTGATAATGGAAGGACTATACCATGACGTGTACTATAGTCTATTACAATTTATAGTAGAAAATCGTCTCGCTTTAAACATGAAGGAAGGTTGTGTATTAGCCGGAACAGGGACGGTGCTCCCAAATGGACTTTAAAAATTAATGTTTTCTGTTTGGTGAAATAAACATGATAAACAAGTAGAGGAAAGTTTTAGCCTAGAGAAGTTTGTTTCGACCAAGGACCTTTTTTTTAGAAGAAGAAGTAATTAAAGTAGGGAGAATAGTTTTTTGATGTGAGACTTTTTTTTTTAGAAAAAATTCTATTTCAGTAAAAGAGGAGAAGAGGAACAGTTTTTGGTTAAAGATTTTTGTCACGGGGCCCGATCTAGAGAATTGTCCTGTGGCCCGGCCTGGCTCTCAGCGGCCCTGATAGTAAAGTATAGTCCTTCCAATATCAATTGCAGAACACAGTTATGTAGGGAATCATCAATATTTAATATATACGCACGGTACTCATGCCAAATTTAGAAACGAAAAATAATGTTTACTCCCCTTATACCAATGAAAACATCGAATCGTAAACTTAAATGCACTGTATTGGCCGAAGATTTACGAAGGGGAGGAGTGTTCGAAAATATTCCTGGAAGACAGTCTGCGATATCAGTGGAGTACTATCGTGCGGTGTGTTTTGTATGTGTGGTTGGTTTAATTTAAATTACTTTTAATAAATATAAATATGACGTTCTTTAGACCGTGGGCGAATGAAGAAAATGAAATTGCACAATGTAGTGAGATTAAAGACAGGTATAACTTTAACAATAAGGATTTAGATATACAAACAACAAGTTATTTTAAATATATTCGAATGTTTAAAAAAGGAAAATATTCAGCAGTCTGATAATGCAATCATAATAAGAATTGCTGAATTAACTAAAGTAAATAAATTTTCCATTTATCGGGTAGTCACAAAAGGGGTTGCTGTGGATCATTCACAAAACCGAAAAACATGTAAAGAAAAACTGAAATCAGTTGACAGAGCTACCCAAGATTTTATACGAAGGACAATTTATAGTTTATATAAGGAGAACAGGGTTCCAACATTGGAAGTAATACAGCAAAAGGTAGCAGATTTTCCAGGATACGCTTATACCAGTTTGGAAACATTGCGTCAAGTTTTGTCAGCATGTGATTTTTAACACAAAAAAAATGAATAAA